TTTTTAAATTAGCATTTCGTTTTTTTTACACAAATAATTGTACTTTTTTAACTAAAATTTTTAGTTCTTTTTTTCCAAGAAAAAGAAAAGCTCAAGATAATAATATCAATTTATTTTTACAGGTCACTGGTAAATTGAATCTAGTAATCTAATGGTAGTTTTTGTTGCTAACTCCGTCTCACAAATCTCATATATGGGAATTTAAAATAAAATCTAGTTGGTTGAACCTTTAATAAATAAATATATAGAAAAGGAAAGGTTGGTTTAGCACCATTGGGTGAATATGCAAATATTGTTGCTCAGTGCATGAGCTTCACCTGTAAGCCGTAACGTCTTTCTCTCTCACATACATAAAAAGGAAAACGAACAAAAACATTTAAAACAAAAAATAAAAGTGAAAAAACCTATATGACATTATATATACACACACACATATATGTGTAGGAACATCAAAAGCCAAAATCTGGAGGAAGAACAAGAAGCCTCACACATACTTATATACACGAAGGATTATATAATCGGAATGTTTGTGATCGGAGTGGTGATGCTGCTTTTGACGGTGCTTCCGGCTGTTCTACCGCCGCTTCCGCCGCCGCCGATGATAGTGATGGGAATTCCGGTGGTTCTTATGCTAATGCTTCTTTACTTAGCCATTAGTTATCCTCCTCTTCTCTCTTCTTCTTTTAACTTTGACAATACTCCTAGTCGTCATGTAATGTGATAATGTGTCCATTAGATCCAGATAACACACGCACATATGTATATGCGTCGTGTTTGATGGGTTTCGTTTCTTGTTTTCTATTGATAATTGTGAATCCATCCATTTTCCATTTCATTTGATTTAGACCCTTTTCTTGTTTTGTTTGTTTCTAGTACCATTTTAGAAGTCATGGTTTTTCAATTAGTTTTGTTACTATGAGAAATCATGACCAATTCCTCATGGTAAGTCACTTACCAGGAGAAATGAGTACCAATATTTTCAAGGAAAATATTTGTATCTAATGTGGGACATTCTAACAGATTTGTTACGTGCATATCTTTGCAAATTTTGATTTGTAAAGTCCTAATCTTCGAAATCGCTGAAATGATCATAGATCTTTGGATTTTTGCTTTGCTCTTGAGCATATAGATTTTGAAAAACGTTACAGAACTATACATGCAAAAACATAGATTCGATTTTTTTTTCGCAGGACTTTACTTGTATTGTTGTAACTTGTCACTCATTAAGTTAAGGAATCAATTCTCCATGGACACATTCTTGAACGTCTTAGAAAACTTAAACCGTTGATTCTGAAAATATCTGACGCGTAGCTCTTTCTTCTTTTTATTCGATATAAGGAATTGTCAAAAGACTCAAAATATATAGAAAACCCGACTTTTTGTTAATCATTCTAAATACTAAATAAAATTTCAAGCAACAACCCTTATTTATAGAAAATTTAAAACTTTTAACCCTAATTAATTTTTTCATCCCACACGATCTTTGGTTAATTTTCTTATTTGTGACATTTTATACGTAAATATGCTCTATATTAAAAAAAGTTGTTCAATATTTATGGTCTTTCAATTTAAACTATTTGGGTTTTGTCGATTTATTTTAAACCGAATCTATCTCTAGAGCCGACA